TATAAAACACAATCATAGATGATATGAGACAGTAGTTTCTAAAGAGTCAGGAGGAGGCATTGTACAAACAAGAGACAGAAGCATTGAATACCAGGAGGTCAGGTGTGTCCTTGAGCATTTCTCAGTCCCTTTTCCATTTGGTGAATCCTTCACCTATCACTAATTACTGTCTTTCAAATTATATTTTAGCCACAGGCCCTTTCTTCAAACAAAAATGTAGAGATGTACAGTATATTGAGCACATACTACAGGTACTTCCTAAAGGGTTAAACGGTGGGTGCTGATTGAAGTGGAGATGGGAACCTGGACCCCCACCCACTAACTCATCATCCCACCTAGAGACCACTCCCAGGCGTGTCTGGAACCCCTGGCTCTGGCGAGCACAGTTCTCCACGAAGCCATTGATGGGTCCTCCTCACTCGGGATACTTGAACTGTTTCACATTCCCAGAGGCTGTGCAGACAAGGACCTCTATAAAGCTCATTAAATGTTACGTAAAATACTGATTTCCTTCGTTTGCCCTCAGGTTTTCTGCTGATCTTTTTCACATCAAAACCAATACACATGACTAATCCATCTTATAACTGAGTAGTTATTCTAGCCAGAAAGCCTTATCATCGTAGAGGTGGCTTTTAGCTCAGAAGGAAAAGAGATTTGTTTGCTTATGCATCTCTCTGAACGCCCTACTTTCTTCCCAAAGGTTAACAAATCCAGTTTGCTTATTATTTTTTATTTATTTGTTTATTTATTGTTCACCAAGCTGATGGGGGGACTATTTGGTACTTGTGATTCATGGTCTGAAACTCTCTGCTCTCTTGACTTGTGTGATGTCCTGTTCAACTGCTTTTCTTCCTCGTATTATTTCCTTCTCTGCTTCATTTGCTAACAGTTCTGTGGGGTTTTTGGCATTCAGTGCTCTGTCTCCGGGCAAGTGATTTCTTCTTCCTTCTCTCTCCAGACAACTAATGGGTGCCCAGGGTTCAGTGATCACTGCGCTGTGGGTGGTGGTTGAGTGAGAGTATGCTTCAGTCTCTCATGCAGGGCCAGTGTGTTAGCTCCAATGTGGAGTGATAGTTCTACTGTGAGCTAATATTAATTCTTTAAAGTTGGTATACCTGACTCCAGAATCATATTATTGCCACTATTTCTTGTCCCAACATCTCCATTCTGCCAGCAGCAACTCTATTCTCCCAGTCACCAAACTTGAAATTTTATTATTTATAACTTAGTTCCTAAATATCTTAGATTTTACATTCAAAACTTCTCTTAGGTGTCTCTTTGCTTAGTACTTCATGTCATAGAATTTTAGAACACAAAGCTTTCGTACCACATAGTTTTTAATCAATAAATATGTCTTTTTAAAAATGTATTTTTATTGATTTCAGAGAGGAATGGAGAGAGAGAGAGAGAGAGAGAGAGAGAGAGAGACATCCATGATGAGAGAAAATCATTGATTGGCTGCCTCCTGCATGCCCCCTACTGGGGATCGAGCCTGCAACCTGGGCATGTGCCCTGACCAGGAATCAAACTGTAACCTCCTGGTTCATAGGTTCGCACTCAACCACTGAGCCACACTAGCTGGGCAATAAGTATTTCTTAAATCTGGATCTAATCCAACTGCCTCAGAGAAATTCTAAAAGTTTGTTAACATTCTAAGTAATCTCTGCCTCCTATCCCACATCTTGATAGTCTTATCTCATACACTGTGGATTTAATCCTGAAAACACTAGTTGAAGTTAGGAAAGCAGTTACCTTGGGGAGAGGAGGGTTTTGCAGGCCTAGTAATGTTCTCTTTCTTGAGTGGGCTGGTGTTTACAAGGGAGAGTCCACGCTTTGTCAAGTGAGATTTGTGCACATTTTTCCAGGAGTGTTATTTTAAAATGTTTTAAAGCAGTCTTAGGATTGACACAGAAAAAGAAAGATATGATTGCTGGTCAAATGATTTTTTTTTAAGCTCTAGATTCTCTCTCAAATTTTTAGAGAGGTAGAAAATTTAAATTCTGAAAGTATCAGAGAGGATGTGAAGAAATAGGGACATTACTGGTAGGCGGGCCAATCAGTACATGTTGTGAAGTTGGAAATGTGTGCACCTTGCAACTAGACCAGCGGTTCTCAACCTGTGGGTCGCGACCCCTTTGGTGGTCGAACGACCCTTTCACAGAGGTCGCCTAAGACCATCCTGCATGTCAGATATTTACATTACGATTCATAACAGTAGCAATATTACAGGTATGGAGTAGCAACGAAAATAATTTTATGGTTGGGTCACAACATGAGGAACTGTATTTAAAGGGCCAGAAGGTTGAGAATCACTAAACTAGACAGTTCTGCCAGACACACACCCAGAGCCCATATGCATAAGGAGCTGTGGGCAACATGTTCCCTGCAGGATAGCTTATAATAGGAAAAAGCAAAAGTGAAGGAATCTAAGAGCCCCTCACAGGTTAAATAAAATGTGTTTTTTATATAGTGAAATGTTAAACAGTTAAATATATATGCGTTTATAATAGGGCTCTAAAAATACTATTGTGGGTGAACAACAGATGCAGAATATGTATAGCTTTACACACACATGCATTTTTAAAGTATCAAACAGTACTATATATTATTCCTTGACACAAATTTATGTTAACGTATTTTTATTTTATTTTATTTGTTTATAGTTTTTTTAAATATATTTTATTGATTTTTTACAGAGAGAAAGGGAGAGAGATAGAGAGTTAGAAACATCGATGGGAGGGAAACATCGATCAGCTGCCTCCTGCACATCTCCCACTGGGGATGTGCCCACAACCCAGGTACATGCCCTTGACCGGAATCGAACCTGGGACCTTTCAGTCCGCAGGCCGACGCTCCATCCACTGAGCCAAACCGGTTTCGGCAATGTTAACGTATTTTTAAACAGCTGAAGGAAACACTGTACACTTTCATGGTGAAGCAGAAGCCTCTGGGGAGTGGGTGAGGATCTGGGATTGAGGATGGGGACAAAGGAAACTGTCACTTCATCTTCATTGTCCTATTTCTTTAATTAAAAAATAAAAAGCAAATGTGACTGAATGCTAACATCTGTTCATTCTGGGTGACAGCTCACAGGGATTAGCTATACTATTTCTAGTAATTTTTCCTTTGTTTAATTTCTAAAAATGAAAAATTCATTGAGATAACAGCATCTTTCATCATTTAGTCTTATTTATTGTTTGGGTATTTTATGTTCCTGTTTAAGAAAAAAAAAAGTATGTAAATATAAGTATAGCTGAGATAGCCGAATTTCCTTTTTGTTGTTGCTGTTTATGTTCCACAAAGCAAACTTGTGTTATTTAACATTCTTTGGTATCAAAACGTGGCCGCCATACAGACTTGTGAGGAGTAATTCATGAGGGCTGCAGTTCACCACAGTCTGTCTATTAACAGCCACTTCCTGTGATGGACCTCCTCAAGCTATTGGAGCCAAAACAGCCACAAGCAAACAGAATCAAGAAGTCAAAAAGATTTCCTTTGGTGCTAATGACTTGTTGGTATGCAGTTGTTAGGACTGAAGGTCTAAAACCACCCATGTTGATTGGCTCAGTCTCCAAGATGTCTTCAGGGTCATTTCCACAAGACTGGCAAAAGAACGGGACCCTGCCTTTCCCAACACTTCCTGCCTGCAGCCCTGAGCAGCACAGAAGTCTGCTCTGGCAGGGAGCAGGGCGCCCTCAAAGTCCATGCACCAGATGGACAGATGGACCAACCACGGGCACAGGCTTATCACAGATATGGCCATTAGTCCCTGGGTGGGTGGTCTGGCCATCTTTGGACGTGCACCCAAGGTGATTGCTGTGACCGTGTTTGAAAAGTTAACAGATAAATGTGGACTTAGACTAAACATTATACAGTTAGGCCCTAAGTTGAGGCTTTTAAACATAGCCAGGTAAGAGGAGGTGGGGGCCTTCATACCTTGCCGTCCAGGATCATCAACTAGAGGTGAACTTGGGTCTCTCTGGACCTTACTCCTCCTCCCCATAAGCAGGTGAAAGAGGGAGTTCTCCTACAGAAGGAACTAAGCTTGCTCAGTCAGAGCCTTTGTCTGTGGGTATCTGGAAGCACCCTGGGCTGCTCTGAGCTGTGCATCCCCGGGGGAGCCTGGTGGGTGTCCAGCGAGACTAGTGATGGGTGGCTTAGCTTCCTAAGTCAGGGGCCAGTTATTAGCAAGGCTTCCCTGTCACAGATCTGAACCTGTGTTCTCACCAATCAAGTTTATCAGAAACAAAAGCAATATTTTCAGCTTCGTCTGTTTGGCCTCTACCTCAATTGGTTCCAAACTCAAAAGGGGAAGAGGGACAGGTATTCATTGCTCTCCTCAAAAACCTATTGATCAATTAATATAAGACCTCAAGATGATAAATTAATGTCCTCCACAATACCAGCCAATAATTTGTGTACCAGATTTATTCCCACACCCATAATTATCCTGTCTGAATGGTTAGCTGAGCACTGCTCAATTACTTTTAGATTTCATACCTGTGGTTAAAAAATTAATATATGTACTATTTATCACGGCATGCTTGACCTCGCATAGCTTGAAATAGACTCCATTAAAATGTACATTTTATGGTGTATTATATTCTCTCCCTAGGTATAAGTTTACACAGAAAATGTATTTATTTAATTCAATCATTTAACAGCATAAGCAAAACACACAAACAACCCAGCATGCTGTAACAGAACACTGTTCTGCACATGGCCAGCTGTGCGTTGGCAGAACGCAGTGATTTTAAGGATGAATTAGTATTCTAATCTCTTTGGGATTTCTTTTATATTCGTGGTGGTTTATGACTGACGTTTAATGTAACTTTGGCTCTGTTTATACTTAATAGAAGATTCATTTCTGTGGCAGGATACACATTTACACTCCAGTGTTGAATAAAAGCTACTGTTCTGCGAGAAGGAAATAAAATGTTGATTTATAATGACACATTCCGATAGCAGTGATCTAATCCTCCCCAACTATTTCTTCCCAGGTCCTGGGAACAGCACGGCTCCAGCACAGGGTGACTCTTCTCTTCCAGAATATTCAGCCTTCAACACATCTGTCCATGCTGCCATTAGACACAGAAACTGGAAACTCCTCACGGGCTACCCAGGTAGAATGCTCAGCACTCCCCGTAATGGAACAACTCATAACTCTGGGGCTGTTGAATGAGGGGGCGGGGAGTGGTGGGATCTCCTACTAATCCTGACCCCTCACCCCCAAAAAGCTAAGAATTAACTGTAGGAGGAGTAAAGGGAAGAAATGCCACTCTGGTGCTTCAGGGAAAGTAAGGATTTCAGGTACACGTGGTTCTCGAGCACAACAAAGAGAACCTCTGAGAGCTCCATCCTCAGCCCACTGTGTAGCTGGGGGAGGAGGCTGCTTCCCCTGAGCACCTTCTCTAACAGCGACAGCTGTGGAGGACTTGTTGAGTATGTGGCATGATGGTTAAGATCATGATGCGATTAAGCAGTGTGTATAATGAGGACATTCTTGGCGACCATGGCAAGACAATGCTTCATTGTTTGGGACTGCACCATGTGTTGCAAGACATTTTAGCATCCCTGGCCCATGACCACTAAATACCAAGTCATGTGACAAATTCTCCCCCCCCCACCCCCCCACCCCCACACACGCATGCATTCATCTTTCTGGACGCCCCTGGGTGTGAAGCAGTGAGACATGTCTCATTAAAGCACCAGACGTCCGAGTCTTCGGTCCAAACACAGCATCAAGGGCCCCGTCTTTTTCGTGTGTCCATGCCCACAACCCAGCTCAGCTCTGTCCCCCGGGCACCCTCCACGAAATTAGAACTGACCGACCATGTCTCTCTTCAATAAACTGTTATATTTCTTTGCCAGGCTGTGGTCACTGGTTCCCTCCACCATCCCAATACAATGTTTCTGAGATACCCTCATCGGACCCACCAAGCAAGACCCTCTGGCTCTTTGATATTGATCGGGACCCAGAAGAAAGACATGACCTGTCCAGGAAGTATCCCCATGTGGTCAAGCAGCTCCTTTCCCGGCTACAGTTCTACCACAAACACTCAGTGCCCGTGTTCTACCCGGATCAGGACCCCCGCTGTGACCCCAAGGGTACTGGGGCTTGGGGCCCTTGGATGTAGGATCTGGGGCAGCCTTGGGTGGGACGCTAGAAAGCCTTTCTGTTGCAAGTTGGACTTCAGATTCTACTCGTGTGACTCATTTTTTCTCCCAATGGCTTCCCCTGGTCCTTCTTTTGCCCCTAAACCACATTAACGTGGTTGTCTCATTTCAACCCCTTGTGCATTTAAGAAGACGATAAGATCTGGAACCCTGGCACTGTGGGCTGGGGTGTGTGTGTCTAGAGGAGAGGGTGACTGGGTTCATCCCCTTTTTCCGGAGCCGTGGGTCAGCTGGGAACTTGATTTGAAATAGGAAGTTAGTGAGTCCTGGAGGCCGGAGCAGCTGGCTCCTTTTGCCTCACAAGTCAGATGCTAGGTTTCCCTCTGCCAATAGCCAGCTTTTATTGGCGTGACTCACATTTCTTGTAACAAATGAAGGGAGCAGACAATTGTTAATGGCTCTGTTGGCCAGGGGGTCTCCCTGTCTGGGAGAGATCATGTTCAGACGTTCCATGTGAATACGCGCCTTGGTCACCCTCGCTCACACACCTCATCACTCAGCCCGTCCTGGAGCATAAGGCCCATTTCACTGGTAAGGTCAGTATGGCAACATGCCTACTCCTTGGTTCTGTTTTTTACAATAAAGAACTGTGTTTTTAGCCCCAACTTTCCCCCAGCCATTGCTCATTTTGTCTAGACTTCCTGCTACCCACAGATCCCCTGGTTCTTTCCTCCCCTTCCCTGTGACTCAGGCGTCCTGCGCCCGCAAAGTCTGCCTTGCTTCTCCACTCTGAGCACCACTGGTTTGGGGAACAGTGAGCTCTGCCTTCCTTTCCCTCCTAACACCCAAGGGAGAGCCCTGCCAGGAAGGCGTGGCCTGGCTCTGTGAGTTCATGGTAGACGCGAAGAGGCCTGGGTGGGCAAGGCTTGGGTCTGGGTCATCTGTCTGGTGAGCACTTTTCTAGTTACAGGGAGTTTATTATCATGACGATGGCTTTGTCTCATAATGTAGGATGAGTTACACTGACTGCTATTCCCCGGCAGTGAAGAAAAGCCCCAGGAAAGGGCACTATTGTTCGAGATGATGGAAGTGGGCAATTTAAAAAAGGAAATGGCCAGCATCTGGGATTCTGGGCCTTGAGAAAGCCAGGAGGGCACATCCACATTTCTCTTACTCTCCCAGTCTCACTGCTTTTATTGAGGTTCTGGGGTGAGGGGCAGGATGCACCGTGTGACCTGGCAGCCCTTTCTCAGTCCCACTAATGTCCTACTGACATGCATTGGTCCAGATTAGCTCCAAAGAGTATCAGACTCAAGAGAAATGTGTGCAAAAATTATACGCTTTTTTGCATTAGCTCCACTGTTTCATTTGCTGCTTATCACCAGTGCCTGGTACATAGAAGGCACTCAATACACTTTTTTTTATTTTTTACAGAGAGGAAGGAGAAGAAGAGGGATAGAGAGTTAGAAACATCAATGAGAGAGAAACATCGATTCAGCTGCTTCCTGCACAGTCCCTACTGGGGATGTGCCCACAACCAAGGTACATGCCCTTGACCAGAATCGAACCTGGGACCCTTCAGTCCGCAAGCCGACGCTCTATCCACTGAGCCAAACCGGTCAGGGACTCAATACACTTTAAAAAAAATAAATGAGTGAATGAATGAGCAAATGAGAAAGTCTCACACCATGAAAGGTGGTAGTCCAATGAACTGAATACAGAGATAATATAAATATCTTCCCATTGATTTTCTGTTCTCAAGCTGCCTCCTTGGGTAGGAGCACAGTCTGCACATCTGGGCAGTCATTGGACACGCCATAGTAAAGTTGTAATGTCCGCTGGGGTAGGGGTGGAATGTGTCTGCCAAAGGTACTCTTCATTTGCCAGTAATTCTCAGTTCTATCTATTCTTCATAGGACACTAGAAACAAAACCACCAACTAATATGCTAGGTTCCTGCCATTCAGTAGCTGTGTTTTCTGGTCGCTACCAACTTGGATTGTATTAAAATAGGATGATTGGAAGGAAATGGTGCTAGAACTAATGACACCTATTACCAGCCTATTCCACACCCTGGGTTGGCACACAGCCGGCCAAAATACCATTACCTCTCCCGAGCCTGTGGCAGATTTATGAACTAACTGAGCCCAGATATTCCTTCTGGATCCTTCTAATCCCAGCGCTATAGGTACCATTAATACTTTTAAGGTTGGTGGCATCGCTAGATGACCTCTTTTGCTCTCCCCAATTCTGGCTTCTTGGTTGCTGTGTACAGTGTGCACGTTCGACACTCAGGATTTAAAGGGAATTTTAAAGATTAATTTTCTGTAACACTTTTATCTGAGATTTTATTTTATCCATAATAGACTGCATTAGATTTTTTTTCTGTATCAGACTGTGAACAGATTCATATGTTTTCATTAGAAGTATTAATGTCATTTCTTTTTAATTTGTTTGTTTAAAGAAAGGTTTTGTTTAACTGTTTTCCTCTGTTACTTCACAATTGTCCCACATATGGGGGAACAAAAAGAATAAATTATCTTTTAGAATGTGTCAGCCGTGAGTGTGGAATTTTGATTTGTACAATGAAAAATTTCTGGAACTAGATAGAGGTGATGGTTGCACAACATCATCAATGTACTTAATGCCTCTGGATTGTACATTTTAAAATGGTTAAAATGATAAATATTAAGTTATTTCATTTTTATCCCAATTCTTTATTTTTATTTTATTATTCTTTTAATATATTTTTATTGATTTTAGAGAGGAAGGGAGAGGGAGAGAAAGATAGAAACATCAATGATGAGAGAGAATCATTGATCAGCTGCCTCCTGCATGCCCCCTCCTGGGGATGAGTCCACAACTTGGGCATGTGCCCTCGACCAAAATCGAACCCAGGACCCTTCAGTCCACAGGCTGAGGCTCTATCCACTGAGCCAAACCAGCAAGGGCTTATCCCAGTTTTTTAAATGTGTTGGCCCGTTTTTATTCTTTCCCAATCAACTCTTAAACTTTAAAATCTGTTTTTTCTAATAGCTATCACTTGTGTAGGTTTGATTCCAGGCTGTTGAAAGACCAGCCTGTGACCACCCTTACCAGTCGCTGAGAGCAGGTATGTTTAGTCAGTGTGGAGGTACCTGCCACAGGTCTTTCACCTTTGCTCCGTTGCCATAGGAGCCACCCATCGGGTGACACAAGGCAGAGGAGGGTGACTCAGGCTGCCCTGGGCCCGGTCTCAGAACCTTGTGACCATCAGAAGAGGCGATTTCGTTCTCATACTAATTCTCCCAACTAATCAATCATTGAGCATAAGGTATTTCATTTAATAACCTTTGTCATTCTAACAATAGAGATACTTATCCCAGTAACAATTTTTAAAAATACAGAACACTATAAAAGAAAATTAAACACTTCGTAAGCTACCCCCAAGGTAGCCACTATAAACCTCTTATACCCTTTTAAGAGAAGAATGAAGTGGCCCACTATCCAGACTGGTTTTCATATCCCACTGTGCCCAGTTGAGCCCTCATTGGAGACTCAAGATGGTAGATAAATAAAATCTCACCTCTTCTGGAAATCTTCATTTTAATCCCATTATTAAACATGGATGTTCCCAGGATTTTTACTCCAAGGGCTCATGGTTTCACATACACTCACACACACATTTTCTCCCTTCCTCGCTCCCTCTCCTCCATGGGTCTCAAGACCGAGCCTGGGCACTGAGGAGCCAGCTTGCAAGCAAGCCAGTAAGCAGGAACCTGCCTCTTGTTCACATCACACCAGAACCTTGCAGAGCAGGGCAGAGTCGATACACACACTCCTCCCCTCCTTGGTAAACAGGACTTATTGTGCTTTTATTTACATTAAATAAGTCGAAGCTGGGTTTTGCCCTCTCGGCAATCGTTTTGTAGCCAAGATCTTTCTAGTGCATTCTGCATAGGAGGCAAGGACGGGCAGCTGTGCAGTAAGGGGAGGAGGGTGCATGGGATCAGACCCTGCTCCCGGAGGCTCACCCACCAGGGATTTCAGCAGACAGGAGGTCCCCGGACAAGGCAGAAGGGAGGTGGAGAGGCTCAGGAGTCGAGGAACTGCGGCCTGAAGATCCACAGAGGAATGTGTTTACCTGAAATTTTGCTTTTCATTTTTTACACCCATGAGGCTAGTGAGTTCTTTCTGCATAAACTGTTTGCAGTTAAAACCTTTGATTAGAGCAGTGGTTCTCAACCTTGGCTGCACATTAGAATCACCTGGGAATCTTTTTAAAATCCTGATTTCTGGGCCTCATCCTCCAGAAATTCTGTTTCTTTGTTATGGGGTGGGGCCACAACATTAGTAACAAAGAAACAGAATTTCCGGAGGATGAGGCCCAGAAATCAGGGTTTTAAAAAGATTCCCAGGTGATTCTAATGTGCAGCCAAGGTTGAGAACCACTGGATTAGAGGCTACACTGATGGTGTGTGGGAAGCAGCTGTATGGGGTGGACATGTGACTTGGGCTTCACTAAGGTAGCTGTGTTTTCTTGATCTTAAGCCAACGCTTAAATGCAAGTGCTTGGGTTTAAGGCGTTACAGGTGGTGGATGGATGTAGGCCACATCCAGGACTCCAGGCCGAAGTGCAGGCCTCTCTGAGTGGGACCTGCGTGTGTTCTGTCACTGGGGTTCACAGGTCCTTCTTTCCCCCCGAAAGCTGGTCTCACTCCCTAGGCAGCCAGGGCCAGGAGGACCCCAGCCATCCCACAGCTCCGCAGGCCCTCTCACTGCCAGAAGACATTGACATTCTCTGCAGGAATAAGTAATTTTAAGGGATGCCGTTTTATCACCTCAGTGAAGGGAAAACTAGTATCATTATAATCATAAAAATACAGTAACTCCAAATTGCTCCTGAGTTTGAGCTAAGAACTATTCCTGACCTGGAAGGAAAGGAAAAATTTTAAGAGTGAGTCAATTTGTCACTAAATGATTTATTACCACCAGTGCAGAGCTGTGTCTTGGCAACATTGGGGTGGAGATAAGGAAAGGCCCTCAGGGCACATGGTCAGTATGTGCTGGGTGGTGCCTCAGGTGACTGGTGACTTCACTCAGCGATCTGATCTGAGTCTGTCCCCATCTGATCTGCCTCTGTCCCCTGTGGGGCTGTTTCCTCCAAGAACCATAGCTGCACTTTTCCCTGAACAGTGTGTTTTGTTCATGTACCTGCAGACCTCAAACCTAGGGATGCATCCAAAATGCTTTAAATGTATAAACACAAGAGGAAACCGACAGTGCAGTGCAGTGGGAAAGTAGCACAGGATCCCACCAAAGGAAGAAGCAGGAAAGTCAACAAACAAGCTGGTGGAGATGCAACATGTAGAGAATAAATGTTTTAAAGAAAGAAATGCTGAGAGGGGGAACACGGAGGTTTCCACTGAATCTTTTTTTAAAATATATTTTTATGATTTCAGAGAGGAAGTGAGAGAGAGATAGAAACATCAATGATGAGAGAGAATCATTGATTGACTGCCTCCTGCATGGCCCCCACTGGGGACACAGCCGCCAACCCGGGCATATGCCCTTGACTGGAATCGAACTCAGGACCCTTCAGTCCGCAGGCTGATGCTCTATCCACTGAACCAAACCAGGCAAGGCTCCTCTGAATCTTAAATTCCAGGATTATAGTCGATGGTCCCCTCGCTCATAAAGCAGCTCTCCCAGGAGACTCAATGCCTTAGAAATTGCTCCTACTCTCTTGCCTCACCAGCCAGCTCAGTCCCCCGAGATGAGGCCCAAATTCACCACCACCTCTTCGGATGCTGTAAATGAGCCCGTCAGGTATGCCATATCTTGCTAATTACAGGGGCAAGGCAAGGAACTCTCCCCGAGGACGTGCTGTACGCCAAACACCATTTGCCTTTTATGATGGCTACCAAACTCTTCACAATCGTAGTCACGCATTAGGTAAGTGGTTTTTGCGTTTCAAAAATTATGTTGCAGGAAGTCGCGCAGCCAGGAAAGCTGGAAATGGAGCCCAACTTGCTCTTAAAAAGCCCCACTCTCTACTGTGCTCTCCTGCAACCTCCAGTGCTGGGCTTCCTTCCCTTCCCTTTGTCCTGTACCTTTAAGGACAGAGGATAATGTGTAGGAAATCCTGTTCTTACACCTCAGGACTCCAGGAGCCTCTGGTGAGTGACCATCCACCTGGCAGGGGGCCTGTGCTGGGTGGGGGGCAGGGCGGGCAGTGGGGAGGCAAGTGCAACAGTTTCACCAAAAAGTAATGCCAGCTAAAGAGGTATGGAGACAGGAAAAAGCTCATTGGAGGCTTAGAAATTGAAAAAGAAAAAAAAAAATTGAAAGTAGTTGGAATTACTCAGCCTGAAAAGGAACTTTATTAATGTTTTTTCTGTATCTCATAGGAAAATCGCCTTCCCACATACAGGTCACCAA